ACTTTATATGATGTAGATTTTATGCACAAATTGAACATATTGGTTCCATCAATGAACTCCTCGGTTTTTCTGCTATGAGGGAGAACACGAATATGTAGCCTACTTTGATGGATGTAATATGTAGAAGTTAAAGTAAGTGATGATGAAGTTTGTTAAATAAAAATCGTTATATTTAGACGGATTGAAGACCTTAACATCGCTTGCTCCTTGAGTGTTCCTTTGAAACTTTCCAGCACTTAAAATATCCAATTACTGTGTAAATACTTCCTGCACATAACACACACAGGTTATAAAGCAAGCCGTTCTATTCTCTGTGGAAAAAGTACATCCAAAATATGAATGAACATCTTATGAGGACAGACCAGTCAATGGGATATCATTTTACAGATCAGCTTAAAGGCAAGATTTAAAAATGAATGTATGAATATGAAGAGCAAAAAACTACTGGCTTGTAAAGTACAGCAAATTTTCTTATAATTATCTTTGGTAATAGAAATGTCTCCAAGGCTTAAAGATATAACATGTTTGGAATACAAATGCTCTACTTCCAATGCACTTAATACCATAACAGATTGTGCAAATCAAAGCCTTGAATTTTAATGTAAAACATTAATCATACAGCCATCTCATATTTCAATACTTTTTTTTACTCATCGTCTTCTATAAACATTAACTTTTGCAGCTTATATAACTTAGATTTGTGCTAATGTCAAATTATGGCATAATAAGACCATGTTTGCCCATTCCATTATAAAACCATTTGTCAGAATGGGTTAATTGTATTTTATGAAACCAGATTCCGACTCTATGAACTTAACCCAGGGCAAGTAAAAAAGGGCAAATCGAAATGAATTTCTCCAATAACAACACGAACATTTTGCACCCAAATCATTTTCGCAAGGCCGTATTGCTTCAAAACAATGCCGCTTGTATTAGCATTGCTCCTCCTGCCACAGTCAAAGAGGCAAGTGTATTATTATTATTATTTGGGACCTTTTATTTTTTCAGTAAATCAGTTTAACCGGGAATGTGTTATCGATCTTCTGACAAACCACGGATGAATTCATAAAGTTTGCTGCCGAATCGTGCAAAATCTATTTGGGTCGCATCAACACCACATGCAGCACTTGATAAAATCTCCTGCCGATGGGAGATTGGGCTGTTTTGCGAGGCGACCTTCACAGTGGGGCTAGCAGTGCAATAAATTGTAGCGATGCCAGGTGGGAGGTAATAATAGCGTGTACTTCCCCAGAGTGCAATGCCCTACCTCTAATTTTCTCCTCCTCCTCCACCAGCTCCGCAAATGGCGTCGCGAAGATGCGAATCTGGTGTGCATAGTTCGTCCGTTGATAACACAAGGGCACGAATAAGTCTATCATGAAGGTAACATGCCTGCGTTTTGGCTATGTAATTGTACTTTTATTTTACAGTATTTTCAAGATGTTCTTTAAGAATGAAAATATATAAACTCCAATTATTGCATAGGAAATATCCGTTTAGTCTCGACCAAAATATCCCATATGTAGGATAGCATAAGATTTTATTTGAACATAGTTACGAGCTACTTTCTGCAGTCTTGCTATTCATTGTTGCCACCTGTTCATTCAAATGTGATGATATAGTAGCTTCAAGACCATCGTGCAAGATGGGATGTTACACCTCAAAGGATTATGACCATTAGCAAATAATTAATTATGGGTTGTTAAAAGGAACATTGCATTTACAAGTCCATAAATGGTACCATAAACAATGGAAATAAATAAATATTGCCGTGCACGACAGCTTTAAAGTGAAAACTGTTTCCCTACAATGTTTATACAGGCATCTGCTTACAAACAATGATACAGCCCACAATTCAAATATCAATAACCCAGGTCACATGGGAAACATTGTATTTAAATGTCTGGCGTTAAAATCAGCAGGACTCCCAGGGTTTTGATGGTACCAGCGTTATAACTCAGTGTGCCCTTCATTACAGCTGAATGGAGCATGTTTACAACATTTGGACCGTATAAAGATATGATGTGGTCATTAAACCTTGCAGTTCACATGTGAACATTACAATGATAAAACCTGTATGATAAACACTAATATTTATTTCACCAACTACAAGGATTTCGACCCAATTATAATACAAATGATGAATCTACTGACCAATTACAAAATGACAATACAGGGACAAAATGGATAAATATATCTCAGAACCCTTAATAAGTATACCCTCAATCATGTCAAGGAACAGCCCTGGAAAATGACATTGTAGAACTATTTCTGGTACGACCTCAATAGGCTTACAACACGAGACAAAGCAACTTCATGAGGAATCAAGAGTGCTTTTCTGCACATCACATTTTGATGTATACCCTAAATATGTTATCCTGAAGAGCTGAACAAAATAGACAACTTCTCTGCATGTTTTCAATGCTCCTCATATTAAAAAAATATGCAGTATATATTTATTCGAAATCTAAAATGAGTCTTCAAATTACAGGGCAAAAGTAGTTTAGCTAACAGTATAAACTAATTGTAGCATTACAGCAAGAACATTTATTAGGTCAAATATTTGACAAAAACCCAATTTGTGGGGTTGGCCTTGAATTTTTTTTATTTAACATTTTTGGGTAATTTTCCTTTTTTTTTTACTCTTTAAAAATATTCACGTCACCCAATGTCTCTGCTGACTGCACAGCTCACTTCTGTGCGAGCTGCTTTGCATTGCCAAGGTCATTGTGAACATTTAACTGGTACGTGTATGGACAGCAGCAGGAATAGCAGACACAATTTAGCACAGCTTCTTTTACAGTAATAAGAGAACATCTTAAAAATTCCAAGATTCTATCTTCACATACAAGACTAGAATGGATTCATTCAAAGAATAGAGTCTAAAGCATTCGAACAAGACATTGTTTTTTCTGAAGAATTTACCTCTGATAGGGGTATATTCACTGCAACAAAGTCAACGTAAATATATATATATTGGTGAACCCACAGAAACAACTTGCCTAGAAATAGGAAAATGCAGTGAAGCATTGGTACAGCTCTCTAGTGCACTTTCACACATCACCGTCAGCACCAATTTAAGAGTATGCGCACCGATGCCATTAAGAGCTCTTGTAATTGTTGTTTATACCGCTTTCTATTAGTGCTAATGGCTAAACAAAAAGAGTTTTAGTCCTGACATTGGTGCAGAATGCCAATATGTCATGTTTGTAATACTCACTTTCTGAGCAGAATAATAAAGATACAATGCGCTGTGAAGCAGGACCATTGCACAAAAACATCACCACCTATTTTATGTTTCCTTTTAAGGCAGTATTATTAACTAATGTGTTGGGGTTTTTTGTTACATACAAAGCCCAACTTTGCATTCACTACAAAACTAAGTGGACCATAAACAAGCCAAAGCCGATAATTAATGCACTCTTCCTTCACTTCATGACACTGGAATTACATTGAATGTAAACCATCATTAATCACTGCCAGCTTTTATTGTCTCTTGCCCTAAACTTAAGTGGTGGAAAAGAACTCAAAACATTTGGAATTGATGGCACATGCTACTAAAAGCACTATTTTATTTTGTGCCTGGTTCGTTGTACATCATATGAAGCCAACAGCTGCCAAATGATGTATCCACGAGCTGAATTGTTGCTCATGGTAGTGAAGCGATAGCAACGTTTACCAAACAAGCTTCATCGTAAACAATGTCAATAAAGTGTTGTGATTTACCTTTTACATGCCACTGTTTTTTTTAAATAAATGTTTACATAGAGATGTCCTCACCAAGGGTTCAGTTCAATAAAAAATGTGCTTATAAAGAATTTCCCCAGTAAGTCTACTTAGCTAATATTACCCAGTGATACACAAGCTCTGAATGTTTGACTGGGAACAAGTGTCACTTTAGGAATGGCACAGGCAAGGAGACATTGCAAGGCCACTCCCTGGACAAGTGGCATCTGCAAAGGCACAGCTGAGGCAGACGTTCCAGGCAAAGCATGACTTAAATAAAATTGCAAGGCGCTATCGAAACAACGTTTAGCCATTAAATATAGAAAGGAACAAGCGAATAACGTTTTGTTTAGCAGTATCCGGTGAATTAAATTTTTCTGTCAATAATTGTGTATGGGAGCCCAAAATAGCAGGGCACCCTTTTGCATTTCGAGATCTGTTAGTCACCTGTTCATAGTCCTGTCATGCAGACATGGCATAAAGCATTTTCATTTTTGACATTACCTGCATCCCCCCCCCCTCCCTCGTCAGACTTAAACGTCTCAAATGGGGAAAGTAATGGTCACTGGAACAATCTTGACATCAGCTCTCTGAAACTGTCCCAATTCGTTCTTTAATGGATAAGTGCAACCATAGATACTCATACAATGTCTCCTTCATATATGTGTATCTTCATGTAACGAGAAGACCATTTTCCTTAGACTGATGAGGTAAATATTTCACGTCTCTCTGGAAATTCAGACCCAATATTTCCGAGGCCATGTCTCAGAAGTCCTACAGCAAATTTTAGGCTTAAAAGCCATCAATTTCTTACAGGTAATTTATATTTGTTAAGCATTCATTACATTTAATTTGCATGTACAATTAGTGACAATCAAGGAGCAAAGATAGAGGGAAAATAACTATAATTTCCTTTTCATTTAACGTTTTGCTCATTCTTATGGATTACTTAAATGAGACATTTCAATTTAGGGGATAGCATGGACAACACATACAAATGCAAATACAAACAAGGAACTAATCACATGTGCATTCATTTCCAAGTAGGGCAAATAGAAAATAACTGTGCACACTTCATGATTAAAGCATTCTACTTTAATTTCCCTGAATAACAGTGCAATTACAAGACATCCGACGGCGTTGAAGCACAAACAATATCCCTTTACAACCGTAATCTCCAAACCGCGGCAAACAACAACAACAACAGGCTGCAGGAGAGAACCTGTGTAACAGGGCACAAACCGGAACAGACGACAATCAGAAATTGCCATTACCTTGATTTCGTACTTGTCAGCACTTAGGAGGATGAATTCTCCTGGGCTGTGCATGAGGGACTCCACCATGCTTTGCTGAAAAACCACCTGCACGCGCACGCACACAATGCACACACGCAGAGATACATACTTAAAATGGTGCTCAAAGTCAGCTTGATAATTGTTTTTTTACCCTTCTATCTGGCAACAAAACTGACACCTTTTTTACAAGGAGTCATGTTTGCATAGACCACAATACCTGCAGCCATAATGCAAACAAAAAACATAACTCTGATAATATATGCACTGTCCTTGAAGTTGATTGGTCCACACCCGAGACCGCTTTCCTTAGAGCTTAGTCTCACATGGGTTGGACCAGATGACGCCAAAAGGCGCACAACTCAAAGACAATGCACCATCAGAGTATGAGAGCTCGGGGTAAGCATTTACACCATTGGAACCTCATAAAAAAAAGGTGTCAGTTTTGTTGCCAGATAGAAGGGTAAAAAAAACAATTATCATATTTTTTACTGGCAAATGAGGATCCAATGGTGTAAAGTCAGCTTCTAAAACACTGTGCAATGCTGCAACAACAAAAATTACATTCGTCAACGGCACTGCATTAAAAAAAATAGTTCTCATCTATTCATTTATACTTAACTAGCTGTACTACCCGGCTTCGCCCGGGACTTGTATCCACCACGGCCGGCCGCCTTTGTCTCCCCAGTGGCGATGTTAATACGCCACACCAGTTACTCGTTTGAGGCTGAGTCGACCTATGTGAGGTTCAAATAATCTTGATCGGTGGTGGCCATGAGCGGGAATCTAACTCGGTTCGCCGGGTTGGTAGCGCAGCGTAGCGTTAACCACTACACCCACCGCTCCTCACACACACAGACGCACACACACACAGACACACGCAGAAACACACAGACAGACACAGACAGACACAAAGACAGCACGCTAACCACTACACTACCGCTCCCCACACACCACACACGCAGACACACACACAGAACACACACACAGACAGACACACACACACAGACACACAGACAGCACGCTAACCACTACACTACCGCTCCCCACACACCACACACGCACACACACAGACACACACACAGACACACACACAGACACACACACACAGACACACACACACAGACACACACACACACAGACACACAGGCAGCACGCTAAGCACTACACTACCGTTCCTCCTACACACCACACACGCACACACACAGACACACACACACAGACACACACACACAGACACACACACACAGACACACACACACAGACACACACACAGACACACACACACAGACACACACACACACATAGACACAGGCAGTACGCTAAGCACTACACTACCGTTCCCCCTACACAACACACGCGCGCGCGTCCATAGGTACACATACACGCGCTTGCTGCAGACACACACATACACACACATACATAACCGCACATACACACAAACACATACACACACATGCATACACACAAACATACACATACACACACATGCATACACACAAACATACACATACATACAAACACACACATACATACACACAAACACATACACAATACACACACACATACATACAGACACACACATACATACACACAAACACATACAGACACATACATACAGACACACAGACATACACATAAACACATACACACATAGTCATGACCCGGCTTTGCCCGGGACTTGTATCCACCACGCCCGGCCGCCTTTGTCTCCCCAGTGGCGATGTTAATACGCCACACCAGTTACTCGTTTTGAGGCTGAGTCCCTCCCTCGCCACTCTGCCTCCCTCGCCACTCTGCCTCCCTCGCCACTCTGTAGAGGACGTGAAATTTGTATGAATTTACCGCAGAGTGGCGTGTTGGGTGTCGAGGCCTAGCACCGTGCAGAGCCTCCCGCCTTGCCTGATTTTCCCACCCGGCGAACGCTGGGTACGGGTGCCGGTCCCCCCCCCCCCCCCCGCGCTATTAAAAATGGCGTCCACCCCGCGGAGAAAAGTTGCTACTCGTTGCCAGGGGCAACCGCCGTCCAATGAAAGCGGCGAAGGCGTGGCTAGCCGTTGCCAGGGGCAACCGCCGTCCAATGAAAGTGCAGTCCACACACACACACACAGACACACAGACATGAACGATTTTATATATATAGATTGAGAATGTATTATATCAATGTAACACCAACAATATATTCAATCAACCTGTGTCACTAAATCATCATAGTGCTAATCCCCAGAATCACAATCGTGTCAAAACTCCAGCTTCATCAACAAAACGATACAGCTTGATTTCGATTTAAAGCTTTGGTGACTGCAGGGATTCATCTTCTTGGTTCTTTCGGTAAAGTCACGTAGAAGGGAAGTAATAAAATAATAAAAATAAAACATAATAAAATAATTCTCACGACGTTTCGGCCACAACGCAAGCAGCCGTCCTCAGGTGAGGACGGCTGCTTGCGTTGTGAGGACGGCTGCTTGCGTTGTGGCCGAAACGTCGTGAGAATTATTTTATTATGTTTTATTTTTATTCTTTTATTATTTCCCTTCTACGTGATTTTACCGAAAGAACCAAGAAGATCATTAAGGATAGCCGATTTTTCACCAACACTAAACCGTTGCATCTTATTACACGAATCTAATCTGCCATTCACAAGCAATTAACTGGGCAATACACTCTAATTGTTAAACTGAATAGCATGCGTTATTGTGCCAATGACGTCATGGCAAGATCAGTTTCAGTTTCATTTCATTCATTAGGTAAAGCCCTGTGAGCCATGAGGCTCTTGACTCGGGTGCAACCGCAACAAACAAAAACATGAACAAAAAACATCTTAAAGTGACGACGCGCAACAGAAACATCCAGCAAAAAACAGCAAAGGGTTCCAGTTAAAACACCGTATATCAACGCTGTGTGCAAAAATCCCAATGGGATGCAAGTCTAACAATAACAACCATAAGACAATTTATCAGGCTGACTCCGTACTTCAACAAACATGGCTTAACCATACGTTTTCGAAATCACCAATATAAAGCTATAGAAACAATATAACAGTCATCATAGGAACTGTGATTCCAATGTAACAATAAACGATATACATAACATGTACGACCAAACTTTGCAGCCATAGCTGGCAGCATGAGTCACTCCATAACAGCAGGAGTATCAGCAGGAGCATCAACATTTTTCAATGCACCTTTCAAGTTCAGCGCACTATAATCTAAACTCAAGATCATACTTTGCAGCAGATATCCGGAGCGGTGCATTTGATTTCAGGTCACTGCATAGCAGTGGCAGCGGGGGGTGTACAGCTCCTCTAGAGCAGTTTTGAGTGCGAATCTCACAGGTAATGATCCAAGTTTCAGTTTATTTGCGATAGCATTCCAGACCCCTGGGGGCATCAACATCAAAGGACCTTCCTCCAGTATTTGTACGGCAATAAGGAATGTGAAGCTGGTAAATGAGCGAAAACCTGAGGTCACATTTGTTCTTCAAAACATTGAGGAGATCCAGCAGGTAGAGTCTGCTGATTCTTCTGTAAGTACGTCATGAATAAATAAGATCCGAAGCACAAGACGTCGATCAGGAAGCTCTTTGACGTTAGAGTGGATGTTTTGTTAACACAATGCTGGACGTAACCTCTGGCAGAACGTCATGTAGGTAATTGTCAAGTATTGATTTGCTCTTCAACTTTTTGCAGTTTTGCTGAGAAAGCAAATCAATGGGCATATATGCCCACATGACAACTTGATATTATTGGCTCAGTTGGATGGTGGAGGGTTGAAGTAAAACATTGGCAATATATTCTTGGTTCTTTCGGTAAAGTCACATAGAAGGGAAATAATAAAATAATATATATTTATATTATATAAAAATATTTATATTATAAAATAATATAAAATAATATTAATATTTACATTGTATATATTATGTTATTATTTAATAATAAAAGAATATAAATATTTATATAATATTTATTTTATTATTTCCCTTCTACGTGACTTTACCGAAAGAACCAAGAATATGAATCCCTGCAGTCACGAAAGCTTTAAATCAAAATTGACATTATACTGACACGATCTATCCCAAAATATACTACTATAATTATAAATCAGCAGATATTGGGTACCAGACAAATCCTTCAAAAATCTCAAGCATTACTAATGTAAACGGATTTACTTCAACAGCGAAATTAAACAATTCTGCTGACAATACATTGGGTGAAGACTTGTTCTTGCGAGGACAAACAAAGGGGGCAAATCCCTCTGGCAGTGAATTTATGGGTCCCTAATCACCATTTCTATCAAACGCCACACACCTCTGAGGCAGAGAAGTCTCTAGGAAGAAGGGTAAACACAACTATGAAACTAAAACAAATACAATTAAACGAAACAGGGATAAGGTTTGTCGAGCACTCAATAATAAAGTTACGTATTTCGTCAAGGTGACATTTCTTTCAGTTTCTGCCTGCTGAAGCATATTCACAGTTTCAACATGAGGTAGCCTTCTGTCCTTTTTAAATCCTTTATATTAAGTTCACTTGCTTGCTTGCTTGCGCGCTTACGACCGTGCAAATCTTTCAGTCGTTTTTTAACCCACTTCCCGTGATCCAATCGAGCTGACATTTTGCACACAGACTCGTTGTGCGTGACAATTAATTTTCGTGAAATTATTTTTCCAAAATTTTACACTTTTTAGGGATTTTTTTTTATATTTAATTACCTATTGCTTAATGGTGGCAGGCAATCATCTGACCCATAGGTGGCAGCCATCTCAAGCCAGAGGACGAGAGGACTCTAGCCGCCACGCATATGAAGGATTTATAGTGAAAAACTTTGTTTTTACGGGTTAATTTTTTCTGGTCCAATTTCCACCAGAGATCGAGACAGGGCTACGCATCGACCTGTCACTGAAGCTGTTGGTTCTTCGCTGTTGAGGTGACAACCCACTGGTTTGGGCATACAGTAAAACCTTGGATTGCAAATAACTTGGTCTGCGAGTATTTTGCAAGACGAGCAAACTTTTAAAATAAATATTAATTTGATAAACGAGCGAGGGGTCTTGCAATACGAGTAGTACGT